TTAAAGAAAAAAAAGAAAAATTTTCAATTGTTTGGGTGGAAAGAAAAGTCGAATGGAAAATACGAGCGTTAAATTCCTGTTGAGGGGTATCATTTTTGTGTTTTGTTATTTCAAGTAATGTTTTTTTATAGAACATAAAATCATGAATAGAAAAGGCGTAATATGAATTCTCAACTCAATATGTTAGATGGTCCAAAATTAATGAGCGTTAGAGTTCATGTTATTTTAGTTCATATCTTATTTGTCTTAATATTTGTACTGATAAAAAATATTTAATTTTAAAATAATTTATAAAATATGATGTGTAAAATAAAAATATAATAAAATATTTATGTAGATAGAACTATGAGGGTGTTATGGTAAAATAATACACAATGTGTTTCCTTCCTTACTTTTTTTGTTACCAAACAAACTGTATAAAATTCATTTCTTTATTTTTTTCATCCCCTAGCAAAAAAAATTTGGGAAAAAAGAAAGTTTATTACTGCCACTTTTTCTTCTTTGTTTTTCAATCGTCCTACCAACGGGACGATAAGTCACAATTCTTCTTTCCAATTAAGCTTAATACTCCGTTTGGTATAATAGAAAAATAGAAGAATGAAAAGTTAGAAAGATGAAAAGTTTGAGAGATAAATAAAATATCATATTTGATAAGGCAAGAAAAATAGGAAAGATGGAAAAGTTGATTGATTAACTTTCTTTCTAACTCACCAAAATTAATCCCTCTAAAAGTGGATAAAAAATTAATTATTTGTGTTGAGATGTATCTTGTTTGTCTATATATTATGTATACATTAATTTCATATAAAAATACAATAATAAAATATATATATATATATATATATATATATATATATATATATATATATATATATATATATATATATTTAAACTTAAAAAATAATAAAAATAAAAATTTTAAATTAAAAAAATATTTTTTTCATCTTAACTAGAGGTGAAAATTTTTTACTTAACACAATGACATGACTCGAACTCAACACGAATTTTATGATATAAACTTGATTATAACCCGACACGAACTTGAAAATGACTTGACACGCGAACAAGAAATATAAAAAGTTCATAATTTTATAACTCAACAAAATCTAACACGGTACGACTCGATTGTCACCCCTAATATTAGACAAAAAAAATTAAAAAAAAATTGATCATTTTTATTTTTCATTTATCCAACCAAATACAAAGGAAGAAAAGTGTATCATTCATATTTTTCATCCTTGAATGATAGAAATTGTATCTTTTCTACTTTCCATATTTTATACTTTTTATGGGCATAAGTAATTGAAAAAAAAAACTAAAATCCTAAAATGAAAATAATTTTGACAGTGTTATAAAGAGAGTATTTATTTTTGAAATGGTATCTTATTCTGTCAGAAAAAAGTAAAGAGATGGTAGGATAGGACATGAACCTTATTACTTTGGGTCAAAATTGATAAGTGCCTCGACCATATTAATAAAAGAACATAAGATTATTTAGTTTTAATCAAATTCCACCAAATAATGGTAAAATACACGAAAATTCTTGACTGGATCAATAAAAGCAATCTCATCGTTTATCCTCATTATTTAGTAATGAGAAATTTTTTTAAAGGAACTAAGCCCATATTACACCAATTGGTATTTGAACCAGAAAATACTTCTGTTAGGTTACTTTTTCTTCACCTGAATTCAAATTTTAATCTGAAGTCGACAAAATTGTCTTGTGGAAAAAAGAAGGGGAGGTTGGTATGGAAAACAATAAGCTAGGGCTTAGTTAGGTTACCCATAGAAGTTAAAAAAAATTTCATTCAACCACAGTGACATAACAATCCATGTGAGAACATTTGTTAAAATATCATCATGCTTGCTTTCATAAATTATTAAGATCAAGTGGTAATAATGACAAGTAGTAAATTTAAACATTCTGATTTTAAATTTTGACAACTCTTTGGGTCCGGACAATGAGAGATTTATTTCTCATGAATACCCTAGTCTCGGCATGAATGATTTGCCTTTGATTGGATCAAAAAGAGATTAATCAAGGTATACGTAAGTTGACCTGAACATCCATAACTGTAGAACCCAAATTTTTTATTTTTTATTATGATCAAGTGTTTACTTTGGGAAACTTCGTGGATCTTCAAGCTGTCTTTCCTTTGAAAATGAAGTTTCATTAACAAAACATTATAGGAATGAACACATTTGATTTCATAGATTAAGAACAAGTGTTTTACTTTGGGAGGTTTCGTGGCCTTGAAGCTCCCTTTCCATTTGACAATTATGTTTTATAATATTTTGGTAACAAAAGCATAGATTCATGGAATCCATCTATATGGGGTCGCTTTCGTTCATTGTATAAGGAGAAGCGTTTGTCTCCTTTGAACTTCATTTTTGGGCACAGATAGTATCATCTTGACCTCTAATATATGCTATGAGTCATGATGTTTTGCTATTTTTTTTTTTTAATTCTTCTAAAGAAAGAATCATGTTGGCTACCACCTTTTTTGAATTGGTGATTGCAACAAGGGTAAATGGACGCAATTACCCTCAATACAAGCATATCGAATAAACTACATTTCTTTTGCAAGAGTTGAATTTCGGATCTCTAGATAATAATTCTTAAAAAAATTTCATGTGAATGATGAGATCATAATATTACTCTTTCTATTAATGATCCGAAATTGAGCCTTGCCTAGCCGGAATTACTGTGTTCGATTGAATGTCGGATTAGTAAACTCTTTTGACGGGCGAAATGCTTATCGAAGCTCAAACTTGAGCATTGTGGTCCACGGACTTTAACTCCGGGGAAGCTCTTTCAGTTATGGAATGCAATAAGGGCTTTTAATGGTGTGTTTGGTAAGGTGGATGTAAAAATAAAAGGATAGAAAATTAAAAATACTACACTTTCTATCTTTCAAAGAAAGAATCTTTCATTTCTTCCTTTGTGTTTGGTGAAAGAGATGAAAAATACGAATGATTGAATTTTTTTGTGTTTGTTAAGATGAAAAAATAAAAGAATGAAAAAAATATAGATGCATATTTTACTATTATATCTATATATGAAATTAATATATATATAATATGTAATAAATAAATCTGATATATGCATATATTAAAGGGTATATAGGTAAATAACATATATTTTAACACACATAATTAACTTTTTATCTATTTTTTCTTTCATTTTTGGAATGATTACTTTTGGTGACTTGGAATGAAAACTTATCTATCCATTTTTCTATCTTTTCTATTTTCCTTCCTCACCAAACATAATTTTTTATTTTTCATCCTTATATTTATTTATCGTACCAAACGAAGCATAAATAAAAAATCTCATTGAATTTGAGTGAAATTCAGCTGGAGGTCAATCTATAACCAATGTTTTTTTTTTTTTTTTGGTTTTTTATGTTGCCGTTGGGTTTAATGTATTATTTATGGTTTCTTGGTTCCCTTGGAAACCATAGTTTTGCTACCTCCAGAAAGAAACGTCCATCCAGAATCCCAAACAAAGAGAATCCCTTTTGCGTCATCACTTTTCTTCTTGTTCAGTAATAATTAAGTATGTCATAATTAATATAATCCATCTTCCACTATCGTCTTCTTTATGTGATTAGTTTCTATTTTAATGATGGGTTTCGTTGGTTTTCTTCTCTTATCCTTCTCGTCGGCTTTTCTTGAATCCTTCTGGTTAACAAGTTATAGTACGTACTCGGGATTATATATTTTGATGACGGGACATAAATCATCGTATTCTTCTACTATATTTTATCCAAGATCGATCATGTATTCTCTTCAACCATCGATTCCTATTTTTTATTTTATTATATAGATCGAGTACTTTTGGATAAGTTTGTTACTTAATCATTTAAATCTCTTAATATTTAAAACATTATACACAGACCCTCTAAAATTTATACGCACATAACACTTAGATCTCTACCGTTAATGTCTATTAGTAAATTATATCCAGACCCCCTGAAATTTGTAAGTATATAATACTTAGATCTTTCAAGTTTAAAATCTTATACCTAAACTAAAAATATTTAAATCAAATATAGAATATTAAATATTGTAAATTTTACAACCAATTTTATTTTATATATTGAAATAAAATCAAAAATAAAAATTTAATTTTTTCTTAAAAAAAAATCATAATTAATATATAATTATACTACTATTGGAATAAAACTAAAAAAATTAAATAAGGTGTCTAAGTCATTCATAATAAAATATGAATTTTATAATCAAAATTCATGTTCTATTATATCATTTATTGAAATAAAATCAAAAATATAAAATTTATTTTTAAAAAAAAAATTTATAATTAATATAAAATTATACCATCTATTGTACTAAAACTAAAAAAATCAAACAATAGACTAAACTGTAATTGATACAATAACTTCTAGCTTTAATTAAAGTAATTTAGAATAATTGTAAAAAAAAATTATATTTATATTTTTGATTTTATTTCAATAAATTTCATAATATAACATGAATTTTGGTTGTAAAATTTAAGATATTTCATATTTCATATTTCATATTTGATTGAAGTAATTTTTGGTTTAAATATAACATTTTAAACTTAAGAGATTTAAATATTATATATCTACACATTTTAGGGAGTTTGAGTGTAATTTACTAACAAATGGACATTAAAGACGGCGGTCTAAGTTTTACGCATATACATATTTTAGAGAATCTTTTGTGTAATATTTTAAATATCAGAAGATATTAAGTAATAAATCTAAAAAATTAGGAGTGTAATTCTAATAATTTTGATTTATGTCTATTCAAATCACATCACATCACATCCTCCAATGATAAAAATGGTGTGCTATTGTATTGACTTCTGTAGAAGCAGAAATGAAGTAGATGAAGCGAATGGGTAAATATCATTGTCTGAGCCCAATTTCATGGCTGTTTTTTTCGTTGACATTGAAATATAACACTCAAGAAAATAACATAGTTGAACCAGATGCTGACAGTCTTGAGCTAACCAAAATGCAACGTTGGACGCAATCAAATCCCACCGGCTGCCGCATACATCAACAACTGCCGTATGCTTCTTTCCCGGAGGGAACTGCTCACCAAATCCATTTTTTCCGATGTCATGCAGAGACTTTAAACAATAAGAAAGTCAACTGCTTCAATTCCTAGATGGTGAAATATAAGTCCACATACTTTGTTTGATACCGTCAATGAAAAAATAGAAAAATAAAAAGAGAAAATAATAAATTATTTATCATTTAAAGGAGAAATTATTTCTTCCCTTCTTTTGTGTTTGATAGAAATGGAAGAAAAGTATAAAATATTAATTTTTTTTCTGTTGTAAGAAGAAAAAGTGGAAGGATGGAAAAATATGGATGTATATTTTATCATTATATTTATATATAAAATTAATGTATATATAATATGTAATAAATAAATTTGATTTATGCATTTATTAAAAGTTATATAAGTAAATAGATTACATTTTAACACACACAATTAACTTTTTCACATCTACACACGCAATTAATGACTCAAACAAAAAGAACAATGCAACACTATGTAGAGAGAGAGAATAAATACTAAATATAAAATTTAAAATTGAGATAATTGAGAGAAGTAAAATGAAAGCAATTTTAGTAAAAAATAAGAATTGTTCAATAATATATTTTGAGAGTTCAAGACATCATTTATTTATACACTGGCTAGTGACTTTTCATGAAGGGTGTAATTATATGTAGTAATGTGTTTTAGTTCAAATGGAATCAATGGTGACTTTATGAAATGTACAATCATTTAAAATTGTGTCTTTTAATTAAAAGATATCAAATGTTACTTTTATGAAATATTGTGACTATTTATAATGGTGTTTTTTAATTAAAAGATGTTAATGATGACTTTATAAAATGATGTAACTATTTGGATTTTAGTCTTTAACCAAAAGTTACAAATTTTGAATTAATAGCTTTTTATGTCATCTTTACTTCACACTTCTCTAATTTCTCTCAAAAGTCATAAAACTTTTATTTTTTCAAATAAACTTTTATTTTAAAAATACTTTAACAATTTCTCATTCAATATTTAATGATTTTAAACAAATAAATATACCACGTTCATCTCATCACAAAAGAGAGTACATGCAAACTTAATCCCACTAATTTCGAATTTAAGCCTTAAATTACTCAAAATATTTATTTAAAACCCATTATTTCCAACACCTTTTCCCTCCCATTATCAAATCACAATACATGTGATTATTTTCGTAAAGGGTGTACTATGTAAAATCATATTCTACTACTGCACTCTATGAATGATCTCGTGTTTTTTTTTTTTTATAAAAAAAACCACCAACTATCATTTTATGTTATATTAAGCGAAAATAATTTTGATCTATGATCTGTGACTATTTCGACTATTATTGTCAACAGGTATCACATCACATCCTCCATTGTTAAAAATTTTACGCTATTAAATTGACTTTTGTAGTAGCAGAAATCAAGTTGATCATGAAAGTCTATCTAATATTACAACTAATATGTAAATATCACAACAATAATGGACTTCATGGCTCTTTTGTTTTTCAATCGTTTGACATGAAAATGTCTTGCTGACAATCTTAAGCAAACCAAACTCCTACGTTGGATCCAATCTAACCCACAGTTATGATCATGAGTAGTATTGCCGTATGCTTCGTCCCCGGAGGGGAACTGCGCCCACCAAACATGCATTATTTTCAATGGCATGCAGAGAGTTCAATCACACGATGACACTGAAAGATGTTCTCCAATAAATTTAAAAAAACTAGCCATTTGAAAAAATCAGATGAACGCAATCGTTATCCATGTGCAATGGCGAAGCTAGAGTTGTTCTCTAGTGGGTGTAATCAATAGTTTAAGGAGAACAATCACATAACGATCATCATTTTTTTTGTGTGTGAATTTGGATTGATTTTCACATAACAAATATATAAAATTCAGGTCAATTTTTAAGAGATTCAAATTCAATTTAATTTTTTTTTAAATTTGATATGAATATTAAACAAATTTTTTTAACAATCTATATCCAAAGAAAATAAATATTAAATATTTGAGCAGACGTGAGTTATTTATATTTGAATTTTATTAAATTATATTTTAGTTCGATTCAATTATGTCAAGTAATACTTAATTTTATCGTATATCTACATATATGAATGTAATAAATCAAATTATATCACAATCGAACTAGAGTTTTGTATAACAAAATTAAATTTGTGAAATAGAACATAATTGATTTGAATTTATAGTCCGTTAGGTAAGGTGGATGAAAAAAATAGAAGGATGAAAAGTCGGAATGATACACTCTCTATTCTTCAAGAAAAGAATCATTCATTCTCTACTTTGCATTTAGTACGAGAGATGGAAAATATGAATGATTGATTTTTTTGTGTTTGGTTAGATGAAAAAAGTTTTTAAATTTTATTTTAAAAAATATATAAATACATAATATGTAATAGATAAATATAATACATGTATATATCAAAGAATATATAGATAAATAACATACATTTCAACACATAATTAATTTTTCATCTATTTTCCTCTTAATTTTGAAGGGATAAATTTTAATGAGTTAAAAGGAAAATGTAATTCATCTACTTTTCCATTTTTCCTATTTTCCTTGCTTACAAAACATTATTTTTTATCTATTCCTCCTCAAACTTTCCTTACAACTTTCTATCATTCTATTTTGAGTAATGCTAGATAGAGTTAAAAACTAGATTTAAAAATTAGACTTGATAATTTCAATCATTGAATAGGTAGTAGGTCCCAATAAATACTGAGACCTATAGTGAAATCAATGGTTGAGATTATCAAGTCTATTTTTTAAGTCCATGTAACATTGCTCTTCTATTTTTTCATCGTACCAAACAAAACATTAAATAATCGGTCAAAGTTATCAATTCATATCTAACTAATCCAATTTTCGCTAAAATTAAAGTTAAATTAAAATCCAACTTGTTAAGAGACCTAAATTTTAAATTTATCAATTAATTTTACAATTTTTTGTGGGGGCAAGGTTTAAAAAAACTTTAGATTTTTTAAAAATTTCAATGGGGGCAACTAATCCCATGCCCCCACGTTGTATTCGTCCCCAATCCCTGTGTCCTCCCATAGCAGTGTCATTAAGGAAATCAACATATTTCTAATATTTTTGATCAGTGTTTGCAAAGTATTTAGAGCGATAATAAGTGTTAATATTTTCAAATGATCCATTCTGAATTCTAATCCGAGAATTAATATCTGAAAAATAGAAGTATGACTAGGTTTTTTGTTTTTGCTGGTGTAAGACTTTCCTATACTCATCATAGTCAAATATCAATAGGTTTATCTTTGATATATAGAGCACGTTTCAGAAAATTTACTTCACTTATCAAAGCATGCATACCCTGTGAACTGATGTATATTTCAAACAAGCACATAACCGACCATTGCACAATAGTCAACAATTTATATCTATATATTATATATATTGTATTACGACCTTAGATGATACGTGTCACACCCGATAATCATATGTATTGATTATTTTTCAGGGGTTAATCATCGATTAGTTTACAATTAACTATCAGTAAACAAACCCGCACATTAATCATTGGAGGAGAACACTGCCAAGAAATTAATTATTTTAAAAAAGTTGAATAAAATGTTTGAGATGTCAGGTGGGGGTAGTTGGCTTGGTTGGGGGGAAAGGCCATGGGAGGTTGTAACTGTTACTGGGTTCATCTCCTCTCGATGCTTTCATACACTTGACTTCTTGATTAAAAACATATAAAACAGACAACATAAAACTTTCATAAAGTGTAAATCTTATAAAATGTGATAGTTTATGACTACGTTAAGAATTTCAACAGAGAAAAAGAAAAAAACTTATAGTACAAAATAGACCCAAAAGGTTAATCGTAAAATAGTTTTTGATTTAACATTTATTTTGCAATTTTTTCTTTATTTTTTTATGGAAGTTTTGGCAGCTTGGGTTCAATGAAATTTGACGCAAATGACTTACTTTTAACTTGATCGAAAATGTGATTAAAGTGTAGTGGTGGTGAAAGGGCGATGGTGGTGGAAGTATGGTGGCTTTTTCTAAATTTTAAAAATGCTGTTTCAAAAAATATACAAAATTGCTTTAACCTGTTCCCTATAAATTTACTCAATTTTTGTTTTCAATTTTCAAAAAATAAAAACAAAAAAAAATTACATACTTTCATCAAGAAACTATTTCTGAAAATAGAATACAGTTTTTGACATGCAACCTAAACATGACTTATGATACCGACTTTTTTATTTTTTGTTAGTGATATATATAGTATGTAAAAAAATAAAAATACTCTAAAAATGATAAAATTTACTGATAAAAATTGATAAAATTTCCTAAAAATTATGACAAGTGAACCCAAAAAATAATAGATAAACTTAAAATTAAGTGCACCTAAAAAATTAATAAATTTATTTTCAAAAAATAATATAAATATGCAAAAATATGATAAAAATTACAATACCCCCGTTTTGTTTTTCAGTACTCTAATCAAACCCTTTCTTTCACATGCTGGAAGGAATTTCACACCCACACTCTTATCACACTCTTTTTTGACTTATCATTGCATGTCAATCTCAATCGTCTCTTGCACTGCGCATTTTTATTACATTAAACTTCTTTTTGGATTTTATTGTAGTTTTATATGTCCAATCCACAATAATTTTTCATATTATTTAATCAATATATGGATTTTTAATTTACACATAAGTTGTGAAAATATAACAACTCTCAACGAAATTGAGTATTTATGAGGCCTTCCGTTTATTTGTTTCGTAAACAAGTGAATTTAACACGATAATATTAATAAATAAATTAGGTAAAAGTGACGTTAATAATGTAAAAAAAAAAAACAAGTACACAATTCAGTTTATATATCAATTTTACATAATTTATTTACGATACGAATTTTATAATATATAATTTATTAAATATAAATTAATAAATAAATTAAATATTTTTTTTAGAGGCCGACCTTCACTCAATTTCAATTGTTTATTGTTAATTGTGTTTCAACGCCTGTGTGGGGCCGGAATTTCAGTGCACCAAGGTATCATTAAATCCAACTCTGGACAAATTTGGAATCCGGAAAAAGTGACGATTAGTGACTGGTGGGGGTGCTTGTCGACTGGGCCACTATATAGAGAGAGGGAAAGGGCCCCTTCAGGCCTCAGTAGGAGCCATTCAGCTTTGTGCTCTGCCTCTCTCCGGTAGTGCGAAAAGGTTACATAGTTTCGCCACTAACCTTATAGCCTGTGTTCTCATTCTTGATCAATATTGTAATTATCAGATAAATTTCTGTGATCGGTGTGTCATTTGAGCTGCAAATGAAGCGGAAGTAGATCTTGGTCTCCGATTGTTGAGGATTCGATCGACGGACATGGAGGTCAACGAATTTGACCTTTATAAACAATTATTCATCTGAGCCGCTTCAATTTGTGGTAAAAAAAGCTGTTCTGGTTTGAAATCTTTGGTAAATTAGCAATAATTATCTTTCCTGTGTTTTGTTGCCGAGCTAAAAACAGTAGAAAATAGAGCACTTTTTTTGTTATTTGATTATTTCTCATAATGCGTTTAATTTCTGAGAAAACAGTAGGTAATAAGATGGAAAAACGAGTTTTTAGTTGAAAATCAAATTGCACAAGTGCTATTAAATTTCGGTGATTCTCTGGAGTTGAGTGGGTAGAAACATAATTACGACGTTAATTGTTATTTTCTCTTTGAATTTCTCGGCCACCAAACGGGGTGTTATAGTCAATTGACTGCAAACTTCTGGTATTTGTTGTTTTTTGTGCTTCAGGTGTACCTGTTCTCCTCAATTTCACGAACACAATTTCCATGACTCTGGCTTTGATTTCAATTTGAGCTACAGCATTCGTTGTTCTCTCTGAGTCTTATTTATATACTTGATTCTCCAGTATATTAGTTCTGAATTTATGGAGAATACAATCCAGAAGGTCCAGGGCTTGACTTTCTCCTTTAGTTGTCGCCATCTTTAGCGGCTTTTAGTTTATATTGCTCGTTACATCGATTTCTAGTTTTCGGTTCTTGAGAAAATAGTAGAAAAGATGATCGGTTTGTTATCAACTTCCACTGGGCCACCGATAAAACGAAGGGCTGGTCTTTGGAGAACACAAGCGGGACGAGGATCATACCGGGGAAGTTAGTGTGGATTGTTGGGCATAATTTGGCTTAGTCAAACCTTAAATTACTGCTGGACCTTTTTTTGTTTCTTCAAAAGTTAATCGATGGAGACCACTCCTCTGAGGCAGTTCCTGCAGAGTGTATGCTGCAATTCTCCTTGGAATTATGCTGTGTTTTGGAAGCTTCAGTTTCAGAACCAAATGTAAGCAATCTTCAAGCCTATTTTGTGTCCTGGTAATCTGAAATTCTCAACTTTATTCAATTCTTGTGCTGCCAACATTTATCATTATCACATGTCATTTTTTTAACTTCCTTTTTTATTTGACTTGGATTCAGTATGGGAGTCCTTTTGCTTAAGTAGTGTAGACCATCCACTTTTGTTTCATACTGATAGAAACTGTGTAGAGTGTACCCGTTGATTGGCAGAGGCTATGAGGGGATCAAATTGATTTTAGGATATTGTTTACTCAGATATTGTATTGTCTCCACTTGAAATAAAAGTTCTAAACCCAACATATGACATCATTTCAAGCATGGTAAAAATTGTGGCTAGTTATATTTTCAACACAAACCAAGTTATCCCCTTTAAATAGAAAATGGTAGTTTTGTTGCTTGGATGGATTGTTAATGTTTAGCATTTGCTTGTCTAAAAGTAATGGTCACCGTCATTAACTTTTATGTCAAATTTGATATTATTTACCTGGTAATTCAGGGTTTTGACATGGGAGGATGGATGCTGCAACATCCAAAGGCCGAGAGATTCCATGGAAAGCCTAACAGATAATCTCTGCTTTAAAGGCGCAGATGAAGTATCTTCTAATTGGGGATCGAGTATACTTGATGGAAATTTGGATCAATGCTCAATTGGACTGGCACTGGCTGAAATGTCCAGTGTTCATTATGTATTTGGAGAAGGGTAATTCTAGTCTTGACTTCTGTTATTTCCTGTAGTGTAAATATTTGTGCTATCATTTGATAAAATTGTTTTACCCAGAGTAAACTAGTAGGACATATTTCGCTGATTACTCCATGATTAGAGGTTCTGACTCTGGATCCCCAAGAATCAGTCTTATAGTAATTTTTGTTTAGCCTCTGCTCACATTTTTCTCAGATCTTCTGTATCATTCTTAGTCCTCGGAGCTTGATTTGCTAAAACTTAACCCTTCTTCCCTTCCCGTCATCGGTGGGACCACCAGATAAATTTGATATAAAAGCCCAACAGGGTGTGGAGAAGGCCTAGGGTGTCACTGAATCATGCTCAAAGGGATTACTCAACTTTACTGATTGGGTAATCGCTGTAGGCAACCAAGGCAGGCGCTTCATGAAGAAGAATGAGTTGAATCCTGAGCAAGAACTTGTAGAGTGATATTTTTTCAAAACACCCATCTCTATAGATCATCTTTATATGAATGAGCACTTAGAACATTAGGTCATCAAAAAAAGCACCACGTCCGTTTTCATGTAACTTCTGTTAGTATTAGAGCTAGAGAAACAACTCCCTAGGTTGCGGAGGCTCAATTTGCAGAAATATTTAATGAAGGCCCTCAACAAAAAGAAAAAGAAGTAAAATCGCTTCTACTGCCATCGCATTCCCGTATGACCAGGTCAAAAAATTAAACCTTCTGCAGTATTGATGCATGGGATATGGATTCCCTAAGCAATACTGTATCATCCTTTGGTTTCTTAGCTGACAATTAGAATGTTGGAGACTCCTTGTTCCTCACCAGGACTCTAATTTAGATGCTGACCAATTTGCATATTGAACCAGGATAGTAGCAAGCTTAACTGTGTGCTTAAATGCGAGTATCATATATGAAGAGGGAATGGTGAATTGTAAATGTTGGTAACTGACTTTGAAATTTTACTATTTAACCAGGATTGTTGGTGAGGTGGCATCTAAAGGGAACCATCGCTGGATTTTATTGGACAATAAATCAGCTGGTGAATTAATTCCCAAGGTGAATTCCAATCTGTGTGGTTAATGTATCTTTTGGTAGAAAGAAACTGGTTGCAGTCTTTAGTCCTGCATGTATATTTCACTTATTTGATTCTTCTGTTGACAGTGTCCAGATGACTGGCTACTTCAGTTTGTGGCGGGTATCAAGGTAATACTGAATTTTGCTTTGATAATTGGTTTTGACCCACAATTTTGGGGTCTTTGGGTGAATCTTCTGCTTATTTTTGTATGATGCTCTTGCAGACTATTTTACTTGTTCCTGTTGTTTCACATGGAGTTCTGCAACTTGGCTCCTTAAATACGGTGCGTGTTTTTTCTTTTTTTGACCGACTATGGATTCATATAGGGCATTGGTCCGGTTTAGGTTATTATCCTAGTGGTGTTAGAGATTTTTGTTGTGCATATGGTTATGTTATGGAAGCCTAAGCAATTCATATCAAGCATGCCAAGCAATACTAGGGAAAACCCTTCTCAATGTGAATCCCACTCTCTCTCTTGTTGGGCATGTGCGTCAGTGGGTTTGTCTAATGTGTGGCTTTACTATCCTATCAGGTTGCTGAAGATCTGGCGGTGGTTGATTGTCTCATAAATAAATTTAATTCAATTCAAACTGTGGGGCATTCTGCATCTTTTACCTCAGCAAAGAAATTCCCAGCTCAGACATCCTCATTAGCGATGTCTATCCTCATGGATAACTTACATGAGTCGGTGGCCATTAGCATGAATGGAATTAAACCCGAAGATTTGAATTCCGTTGACAGTGTCGAACCAAGAAATCAACTGCCAACTACAAATAAACTGACACCTTTGTGCATGGTTCAAGATTCCTGTAACATATTTGAAAAATATATGCCTAAAATTCCCTATGGTGGAAGTGAAAATGACGGCAATGTGGGTCTGAATAAATTAGAAAAGCCTCTCAATCAATCAGTTTTTTGCAACAATGATGAGATGATACAGGGTAACCTGTTCAGATTTTCTTGTCTGGAAGAAGAATTACAGGCCATTTCTTATTCTGACTGTTGCAATTTGGGAATCTTTGGAGACTATGCGAATGAAATGATGAATGCTTATTATGATGAAGGCGTAATGGGACAACCATTTGTAGACAAGGATGCTAATGAGACAGTTCATGAAAGTGGAAGCAGTGTCTTCAGCTTTCCCAGACACTGTGAGTTGCATAAAGCACTGGGATCTGCTTTCCAGGGTCATAACAATCAGGAATTGTACATCTCAGGCAAGGATACATGTATCAGCTCAAGTCTCATCAGTAATGGAGATCCCATGCATAATAATGCACCATCATACTGGGAATTCGGGGGATCATGTGTCACGCAATATGATGCTGAACATCTCCTGGAATCTGTTGTTTCCACTGCATGTAGTGGTTCAGATGATAATTCATCCAAAAACCTCAACAGTGCCAAGTCATCTACAACCTCCTCAGGACAATATGCTGCTTCCTCAACTGTACAATGTCAAACTGAAGGAAGTGCCTTGGTGGAAGCAGTTACAGTTCCATGGAACCTTGGGACTTCTGCATTTCTTGCTAGGGGCAGAACTGCTACTACTAATCCAGATCCTGCAGCTTCTTCATATGAGAGCACGATTAGTGCATTGATTGAGGAGGAGGAGCATCAGAAAAAGGGGTCTGGTTACCTGCACCCTCACAAGGGATCAAACCTATCTAATTTCAGCAAAAGAAGGGCCAGGCGTGGTGAAAACAAGAAGCCAAGACCAAGGGACAGGCAGTTGATTCAGGACCGTGTCAAGGAGCTACGTGAACTTGTCCCAAATGGAGCAAAAGTGAGTGTTTTTTCTGGGTTAGGGTTGTTGCAGCGCACACAGAATATGATATAATTGCTATCTCTCACACTCACCCTTTCTTGGATAATAATTTTCCTTTTCTTTCTTGTATATACAGTGTAGCATTGATGGTCTCTTGGATCGAACCATAAAGCATATGGAGTTCTTAAGAAGTGTTACTGATCAGGCTTATAAGTTGAGGCAGTCGGTTCATCAAGAAGTAAGTGATTGTTGTCCAAATTATGTGCAGTTTTAAATGTATCTGTGGTTCATATTTATCCTGATCATTTCCTCAGCAAGTCATTTGTGTCAGGTGTATGAAACCAGGCGCTTTAATTTTCTAAAAATCTGTGGATAATTTTCTATGTGCTTTAGCACAATACTGATGGCATATCAGCATATGAAGGCATGTGACGAAGTCACTTGTAGAATTTGAAAATCATATTCAAGCTTTGAAAAGTCTATGGATGGCTCTAATATATTTGAATATCCTCATCTTGAATGCACAAGAGTACTTGAGCATTTTAGATAGTTGCTCGTTGGCTATTCAGATAGAATAAGACGACTTGACATCCCGCTTTACTTTCATTACCTAAGTATTTGGATTTGGATGATTAATTGTCTTCTGCTTTAAGCCAATAATCCACAATCTATATGCAGCAACCTGCAATATCATGAGTCTGAAAATTGTGTGATAACTAAAAAACTCTTTCCAGGTAAGCGGTCAGACGAATACAAAATCGCCTGGAATCAAAGCTGGTGGACAGAATGGGAGGAGCTGGGCTTTTGAGTTGGGAAGCGAGAAACAACTGTGCCCCATTGTGGTGGAAGATCTTGAATACCCAGGGCACATGCTGATAGAGGTCTGCCTAGTTCTTTTCTAATATATCAATGTTGCTAGTTTTATAGAATCATAATCCCCATCCATCCACTCCCATGACCCTCCTCCTTCCTTTCTGACAGGGTAAAACGAATTGATACCTCAAAGACAACAAACCTATTAGTTCTTTCATGAAAACCTTTATAATTATGCTTGCATACTTTTCAAAACTTTTGAGATAGATGCAGTGGAGTATCCACGCTCTGCATCTGTTTACGTTTGCGTACTTCTAACTCAACTTTTCTAACAGATGTTATGCAATGACCATGGACGCTTCCTAGAGATTGCTGAGGCAATCCGTCGTGTGGATTTGACTATCTTGGAGGGTGCAATGGAAACTCGTTCAGGCAGCACTTGGGCTCACTTCGTTGTTGAGGTATAAAGTTAATTTGACACATGGATATATGATATGCTTTTCTCTGTCTCTAATGGAAAACATTGGTATTAGGGCTGATAATTTTTAACATGATCCATTAATTGAACACGAACTGCTTATAAATTTTATCATTTATGAGTTTGGGTCATAATTGGTTGGCCAGCTAAACCCACTTGATATTTGGGTTTTATATTGATTGAGCCAACTTTGACATGAATGCAATTTACATGATTAGAGTGTGCGAGCTCGACACGATATGACATCTCTTTACATAATTTGCTTATTCGACATGCAATCAGCACGAAGTTAACACAGCTCGCCTGTCGTGCGCGAGGTCAACCCGAGATTACCAAATTTTAATTTAACATTAATGGACCAGATCACTATTGGATTGATGACCCAGTTAATAATGGGCCATGTATGGATCAAACTAATTTTGACATGACACGACTTGCATGATATAGATACTTCATTTGGCAACCCATTCCAACCCTAATTGCAATGGTATGCATGTTTTTGTGTCCATGGCTAACTTTTCTGAAGTCAATTTCTTCTATGCATGCAGGCTTCAAGAGAATTCCATCGGTTGGACATCTTCTGGCCACTTATGCAACTTCTGCAGCATAACCGAACTCCAATCTCAAGCAAAATTTGATGCCCCACATCCACCATCAGTTTAGTGGAAGTGTGGAACTGTTTGTCCTTGTAATGATGTACACTTCAAGAATGTTTGTCTATCCAAACCATGATTACTACATATTTACAAGACCGGAATGTATGTCTATATGGGTACTTTCTCTTCTATTTTCATAGTACTCCTTGATCATCCTTATACAGGCAAACCTAGTCCTAGAGCATTGAAGAATATGCAGTATAAAAGGTGGCAAATTCCGAAGCAAGTGAAGATCAGAACCGACATTAGCCGCTTTAGAGTTCAGCATAGTGAAAACCGTGTTTCTGGCCCGTGAGTTCAAAAGGATAGCGGAAAATATCTTCGTGTAGCCAACTAAATTTTGGTAGACAATGGGATGCTTTTTCTTTGAATTACAGATTGACGGGATTCCTTTTATTGGGTGAGTGTAAATGTTGCCCATGTAAACCAGTGGACATGAGGGGCTGCAGATTCATTACGTTTTTACGGCCAATTCGCCAAGTTTCAATTTACTACTGGGGCGAAGTGAAGGTTGTGGTAGAATGACTATTTTCTTTCAGTTAGTACTGTACTGTTATTGACAGTTTTATTGTACTTAAATCAGGTGTTCCTTGGACCTCGTAGAACAAATGGGATCATTCCACTTGAGCAAGATTGTGTTATAGAAACATAAGTTTTGTGTGGTTTGTGTTTCAAATAACGGTATTTAAAAATTATTTTTAGAAAGAGTTTTAGAAAAATGTGTTTTGATATTTTTTGTCACATAATTTGTTTGTGAGCAATGCTACATGGACTTAAAAAGTAGATTTGATAATTTCAACCATTAATTTCACTGTGGATCTCAGAATTTATTAGGACCAACTACCTATTCAATGGTTAAGATTATCAAGTCTAATTTTTAAGTCTAGTTTTTAAGTTCATGTAACATTACTTTTTGTTTAGATATATAATTATAAAAACAGTTTTATGGAAAAGAAAACAACAATACTTATTTGGATAGTAACTCAAAATACAGTGAAAATAGAAATATGGTGGTGGACGTCGTGGAAAGGTGGTGGTGGTGGTGGAAGTGTGGTGGTGATCAAAATGTGGTGGTGGTGGTGGTGGTGGTGGAAGTGTGGTGGTGATCAAAATGTGGTGGTGGTGGTGGTTTTTTTTATATTCTGAAAAAAGTTGTTTCCAAAAACACACAAAATAATTTTAATTTTTTTTTTAAATCTATCTATTTTTTATTCTCAATTTTCAAAAAATAAAAATAAAAAATAGTTGACAACAGAACTGTTGTCGAAAATAGAAAAATAGTTTTCCTGAGATGCAAACCAACAAAGCCATATATTTTACATGGAGCGAAAGATTGTATTTCTCCATTCATTCTCAGTGGTGTGAGTTTGGTGAACTTGACTGTCCTTTTATTGGTTGCGCTTTTGCTTTACAGAGAATCAGCTTTCCTATTTTTCTTCTTCATTAGCTTATCCATTACCCGCCGGAAAACATAAATCCATTCATACCAAAATTACTCGAGACACCATAATTCAGTAAAAGCTTCCTAAGTTTTTGCATTCTTACATGAGCCTTATTTAATAAAATGTGAATGGTGCCCTGTAGTACAGTGGACTACAGAAAAACTTGAAGGAATTGCTGAAGGTGGGAGAATGAGGGAGGGTATGAGTTGCTAGTAACCAGCTGCTGTAAGTCCACCATCAACAACAATAACCTGCCCAGTAATGTATGAAGCAGTTTGAAGGCAAAGGAATGCCACAAGTCCTGAAATCTCATTAGGTTCAGCAATGGGACGAAGAGGAACTCGAGCCATCATCGGCACGAACATCTTCGCTATGGATTTTTCGACATCCTCCTGGAGAAGATAAAATTCATTAGCTGATCAATCAGTACTATGCGTTTACTCGTTAAGAAATCAAAAAAAACAAGGAAAAAAAATTCAGCCATATTTCGTAATGGGTTTATTAGACAAGAGGGTTTAATGTGTGAGAAATAGTAGTGGTTTGATAATGGTGGTTCGGACAACCCCCGGTGCAACAGTGTTGATGCGAATGTTGTCCTTTGCCAATTCACAAGCCAAGTTCTTTTTAAGTTGATTGATTGCACCTGAGAACAGTGGTAAAAGTTTGAAATCTATGTGAGTAATGACTTTTTGACCCGATTTTGATGACAATAATCAATCGCATTCCTATACATCTCGATTCTTGTGGTATTCAAAATCCAAGTATTCCATTACTAGGATTACTGCTATCTAAACGGGGCCAAATTCAATTAGTTTTTCCACTGCAGAAACTGAAAAACATACCTTTAGATGCTGCGTAGACTGAGATAGCAGGTAGACCCGTGACACCAGCAATAGAGGAAATAAAGATGATATTTCCAAGTCCAGATGCTTTGGGCATAGGGTATGCGAGTTGGGAGAGATGGTATGGGGCCTCAATATTAGTATTCATTACATTTGAGAAATCCTCAGCAGTATGGTCTGTGGCTCGCTTTAGTAGACTTATTGCAGCATTGTTTATCTGAAGGTGTAACAATAGAACAATTTTCAGTGTAAGAAGTGCAGAGTCTTACTTCAAAGAGAGATAAAAAATCATAGGGATTTAGATCATCTTTATTACTTTTTAACACAAATTTACTCAATTGTAACCGTGTATGAGCGAGAGACCTACATATAAATAATGAGTCCCATATGAATAGAAGATGATTAATTTATTATTGAACAAAATTATGTGAAAAAGTAATATAGAGGATCTCAATCCAAATTATACCATCCATGCTTTTTAGTTCTTCCTTTAGCAATGTCCTTTTTTTTTCTTTTGTTTTATTTTTAATTTTTTTTTCATGTGAACATATTCTTGTTTTTTAATTTTAAAGTTTTTGTCTTTTTTTTCCCCTCATTCTGGGATCTGTTTGGACCTAAAATATAAAATTATATGAATATTTGATGCATTGGCATCTGACAAGTGTGAAGACATTAAGAGGAGACCACGTGGCAAAATTTGAAAAGGCGAGAAATTGTCAGCTATAACCTTGTTTAAAATGAGAAATAACTACTTGGAAGTTATCAGCTAGATAACTGTCAATGGAGACAGAATCGTCGAAGATAATGGCTATAAAAGATAGAAAATGAAGAAATTGAAGGACACATTCAAACCCCCACAAGACCTAAGATCTGGACATTTTTAGGAGTAATTTTCAATTAGTTTTAGGGAGTAGTTATTGCTGTAATAAATCCTATTAACTCAATCTTTTATATAACCGAAATCCTTTTAATTGAATTAATAAAGAAAATATCTTTTATTAGTTTCATATACTGTGTGATTATCTTTTTAGAACTCATCCAAGAAAGTTTTAAAACAAAACAATTGAACCCATCTTAAACAATTGCCCGAAGTTGTCTATTGATTGAGTTTTTTCTGTTGATTATAAAAGATTTTGGTGCAACAGAATCCTAAGTGAATGAATTTTTTTTTTTTTGGTTTAGTATGAGGTGACACCAATCCGTTTTTTTCTCTACAAAATAATAAATAATGATAAGGCCATCAAGTCACTATGCTTCTTCTATTAATTATTATAAAACTTTCCAGATTATTAATCTCCCAAATCAATTGAGGGGATTTTGTTTAGTTGTGAATGTGACAACAGCGGACTGGGTATACGAAGCCTCTTTCATGTGCACGTCAGGGATGTGACTTTGATATTTTCTCAGTTAGAATCTAGTGGTGTCTGAATACCCCAACCCGTAGAGGCTCCAGAAAAAATTATTTTAATTTGTCGGATAATTGAAGACAATTTCTACGTCACTCATCGGTCTGAATCCCCACCTCCTCTAGAAGTGTGACAGTTTACAACCAATGGTTCGGGTCCAAAACATAAGCTTCTAATTTCAGTGAAGACAAAAATAAATTATAAATTCAGATATTCTGAACTAAAAATTTGGCAACTCGCTTTGGCTACGTCACGAGAGATTACTCATGAATTCTCCAACTTTAACGTGAATAAACTATTTTTGACTAGATTGAAAGAAGATTTAGTTGACATATTTGTAAGTTAGACCAGACACCTTGACCACATTAAAAAAAAAATTGTAAATTCCGTGGTTGTGTTGGGCCTACCACTAACAGAGGCCTAGCACTTAAGCACTTTGTTCAAGACCAGCAAGAACCATGAGAAGCATAGAAGTGCTTGGGATTGCATAGCAGAGAGCCTAAACTTACAAGGATGTTGAGTTTGCATAGGAGAGAGGCTAAACTTAAAAGGATGTTGAGTTTGCCGTCAAAAACAGAAGAGACAGTTCTCATCAGCTCCTCCCTCTGTGGTCTTGATGATAAGTCACACACTGAACCGGTTACTTTAAATCCCTTGGCTTTCCATTCTTGCAACCTTTCATTGAGCTCTATCTGGGTCCTTGAGCATGTGTGTATAACAGCACCAAACCCAGCTATTTCCTCCACTATGGCATACCTAAAATTCGAAAATAAACCCACCATAATCCACTACATATATAGATAGACTTATAACAAACATATGTGTGTGTGTGAGAGAGAGAGAGAGAGAGTAGGCTGTGTGGTGTGAGAGAGATATAAATTGTCACTCACCCAATACCTTTGGTACCACCGGTGACAAGAGCAGTCATTCCCTTAAGAGACCATCTCTGCTCCCTGCTAAGCTCCTCGGCCGTGCTAGTCTCCTACGTGTTTTTTAGCTCTTCACGTGCCATGTTCTTTTACAGAAACTATTTTTGCTAACCTAAATTCAAAAGTACAAATACACCACAGAAACTCAGAATGATAAGCAGCTCAGTCGGGGCTTGTTCTTGTATAATTTCCATTTGATAACACATAGGCAGATAGATTCGGTGGTGAGCCATTTGTGACTAGTATTTTATGTGAAATTAACGGTTGGGAATGGTCAGAACAATCTAATCTTTCTTCCTCTTTTTTTTTTTTTTTGAGAAATATTTCAATCACTCCGCTTCTCGTTTACCATATCTTTAAACACACTTTCTTTATTATCTAGAGCATCATTGACACCCTTTCTAATTTAACTTTAAACATTACTGACACACATTTTAGTTTATATTTAAATATTACTGACACCCCTTACCATTAAATCATGGTTTTTAACAAATTTTTTTTATCTAAAATTTTAAAATTGCCCTTACATAAATTCTAAACAATCTTTCTATATAAAATTTGAGTCAATTAAAATTCATATTATATCTAATTAAATTTTAATTTTTTTACGTATTAAAATTTGAACTCTACTTGAGTTGTTAGTGCCAATTAAAATTCACTCCGAGTTGATTAAAATTTATATATTTTTATTTATTAAAATTCGTGCCAATTAAAATTTAATTTAAGTTGATTAAAATTCATTTTTTATGCATTAAAATTTGAGTCTATTAAAATTTATATTTTTTTATGTATCAAAATTTAGGCCAATTAAAATTCAATGCAAGTTAATTAAAATTTGATTAGAGCCGATTAAAAATGAAAGGGAGCCGATTAAAATTTGCTAACTTTTTTGTGTGTGTGTGTTGTGTGCGTGTCTGAGAAGTAGAGACAGACAAAGAAAGGGAGTAAGAGAGGGGATTAACTGTACAACTAATTGATTAGTGGGGGGTTAGTCGTCGTTGGAGGTGGATGGGTCAGTAATGGATTGTAGATTGTTTGAATTTTGTCAGAGAGAATGTCATCATTAACAATTCACTAAACCTTCTCTTCATTAGTCCCCTAAATGTCCTCGTATCAATATGAACGCACTTTTCCCAATGGAGTGAATGCACAACCACCTAAATTATTCACATAAATAGTCAAATTAACACAATATATATTTCTAGAAATAGTAAAATATTTTGATGCAGTTACATAAGAGTAAAGTTACCAGATTATGTTGGCCCCATCCACAAAAGTTCATTGTATATATTCTATCGTTCTCGTTGGCAAATGTACTCCAATCCTACAAAGATTGAACCTCATTATAAAACTAAAAGTTGAAACATTGGAAAGATCATATAATAAGTAGAAATAAACTTGTTTAAACTATATCATTTAATTGTAAGAATCTTATAACAGAACTTCAGGCTAAATAATATTTGTAGTGCAATTGGACCCATCTTCAGGGAGGAGGACACTAATACGATCCGAAGATGTGCATCTGGATAGTGCCACATAAAGGATTTTATGACTAAAAACAGATGTCCGTAAATCAACTCCAACGAACTTGACAAATTGTCCTTGGGCTTTATTGATTGTCATAACATAAGTTAATCGGACAGGAAATTGACGTTTTGTCATTTGAAAATGCAAGTCCAAAGATGTTGGTGTCAATGATATTCTCGGAATGAAAACTAAATTGTCAATTTTTTCTTTATTTAATATTTGAGCTTCGATTACCCATGAGGCACATCTAACAACCATCAATCGCGTGTCATTACAATGTCCATCTTTTAGTGCAATGTTCCGCAACCACATTATTGGGCATCCAACTTTCAACTCCAATTTAAAAGATGGCAACCCTGAAGGATTCAACGAGTTTAAGTACTCATTTATCATCTCCAATATATTAAAGTGTGCGATCGACTGCCTCCACACAATATCGATGTTGCATAGAAACTTCGTCCCATATTTTCAACTTTGTTTCTCTAAACAACTCGGCATGCATTGATTATTTAGTAAACCCACAAATTGAATTTTCAAGCGTTTCCAAAGGAATATAAAATGTAGAATGTGCAGTACGACCCCCTACCAATAACAATGAAACAATACAAGATGAAGCCATAGTAACAACAACATATTCATGGCTATGCAATTTTGTTGCAATTGTGTTATACAAAAACGTCTTCCCTGTTCTAGCACCTCCGCTCAAAAAAAGGTAATTCCTTTATTTTCACATAATGACGATGTGATTGCAGTGTAAGTAGCAAGTTGTGCATCATTAAGGGCTTCAATATTAATTTGTGCAACAGTCTGTTGTGTTTCATTTTGGAGTTGTTGGTGCTCAAATAGTAATCGGTTGCCAACTATTGCATTCCAATTTCCAATTGGTTGTGGCATGAGTGAAAAATCAGATAAACTCTTCCTTGACTCGTGGAGCAATTCATTCACCAAATATAAACCATAATCTTCAATTTGATCATCAGTTGGATTCAAAACATCAAATATAATATGAATTCTGTGTGCTAAATCATCACATATATGCATTGAGAATTGATTCCATAGTGCAAGTGGATGCAATGGAGAGCATTCTGTGAGAATAATAGCAAATAGTCTAATTCCTTCTCATAATTGAAGCCTCTTGCAGACATTGTATCCATTCTTCATCATCTTCAAAAAGTCATCTTGCAACACATGTTAACTTGAATGTATAATGCATAACATTATTTACCGTACATAGCCAGTCAAATGAAATTGGTCCTTTGACAATAGTTAAAAGCAAACATAGATAAAATCGCTCGCCTAAATTAGGGCTAACAAATTACACTCTACCAATTGCATAACCCCTTTGTCTTGTAGTCTATTTCTTGATGGTCTTATTCCAAATAAATTTTTGTGAAAATTCTTGATAAATTAATGCACGTGCAGATTCATGTGAAGCGTAGCAACTAAAAAAGTCAGTTAAAATTGTATCTTGTTGTGCACCTTTAGAAAGGATTATACCAAAAGATTCAATAGGGTTAAAGACCACACGATGCATCCCAGGTAAATGAAGTGTCAATCGTACAACTAATGGAATCTCTTCATGCAAAGGATTACCAAATAATCGCTAAACAGCTTCCAGAGGTCTAATATATCTTGCATCAAGATATTGTTGGATCTCATTAATTCCTCCAAGCACCATAGTTGCACGATCATGTCCTTTATAAATATACTTGTGAATATATTTCACACATTTGATTCCCGCACAAACTTCAACATTGATATGACAGTTGAACATTCTTGATAGATACGGATTATGTGGTACAACATCTCTATTATTAATTTCTTATCCCCTCACGATATACTTCTGACCAGTATTACGACGACGATAAACAGGATATCCATTGCAGTCCATGTTTATTGATTCCACATATGCTCGAGGGTACCTCTTGGTGCACACTCAATTTTCCATGGTGCTTGTGGATTTTGAGCATCACATGGTCCGTGGATCATGAAACTTATGATTGTTTCAAAAAGTAATGAGTCAGTTTGATAATCCAGAAATTCAGCACTTACTACTTTGTCTACTTGAGCACATGTTTGGCTGTCAAACCAGAACCAACCAAATTTCATCGGTTTTCTTTTCAATGTAATTGTGTTTAAATACTTCATTTGTATAGCCTAAGTGTTCACGTTAAAAGAATATACAAAACTCTTCCAGTATTATTTTCTGAACAAATTCTCTCTGCTATTTTTTTCTTTATGGTATCAGAGCCATTGTGAACACTAGGCAACGTTACAGTCACAGCTCCAACATTCTTCCCATCTTATCTTCCGCTCCTTCTCTTAGCTATGACTACCTTATCATTCAATGTTGGCAATTTTATCACTCTCCGACTCACCCCAAACAATTATCCCTTGTGGCGTGAGCAAGCCTTGGCTCTTGTAGTAAGTCAAGAATTTGTTGGGGATCTTACAAATGAAGATCCTGCTCCTAACAAATTTACAGCTCCAAATCAAAACAGCTTGGAAAATGCAGAAAATTCCACTCCTCAGTTAATAGATGTTTTCATAGCATGGCGAAAGTCTGATCATCTACTTCAAGGGTGGATCATTGGAACACTCTCTGAGGAAACTCTTGGACTCGTCGTTGGTCTTGACACAACTCATGCAGTTTGGGAGGCCCTAAAAAATGCATATGCCCAAGAATCACAAGAACATGAGTTTACATTGCGACAACAAGTGACCTATCTTTGAAAAGAAGACCACACAACAATTACCGAACACATTAACAAATTCAAAGGTCCCTGTGACAATTTAGCAGCCATTGGGAAGCCTATTCCAGACCAAGAAAAAGATTTTTGCCTCCTCACTAGTCTTGGTCCTCAATATGAAACCTTTACAACAACTATGTTGAAGCCCCCCATGCCAATGTACTCTGAATTGGTCTCCCAACTCCACAATTTCAATCAGAGGTGTAGTTGGTTCTCTAGTCACACAGATGTCCCAGGCTTTTTATAGACAACAACTGTAACGCTCACAGTCAAACCCTTCAGGCTATCGTGGACCATCACAAAAATTCACCTCCAATGGACGTGGTTTTCAGGCACAACAACAAAGGGACTCGAACCAAGGCTACAACAACTTCTCTTCGGCAAATCCACAACGACGTCCTCCACCACTTGGTGAGCGCCGAATGACACATGCGGAAAGGGACAAATACCAGGAGCAATAATGCCAATATTGTGGGATGATGGGACATATTGCTAAGATATGCTAGTGAGTGCCAAAGAAACCCACTTAACAAGATGAAATTCCATAAGCACTCACGGCTCTTACTTTGGACAATACCATTGCAGACACAAAATGGATAACAGACACCGGGGCTTCCAACCATATGACAGGTAAGTCAGGTATGTTAACAAACATTCGTAAATACTCTGGTGCTGACTCTGTGCTAATTGGAGATGGGTCTTCCATGCCCATTCTTGCAATTGGTGATTCTTGTATAAACCAAAAAATGCTACCTTACCTCTCAATAATGTTCTGTTGGTTCTGAACTTAACGAAAAACTTACTTTCTGTAAGCCAGATAACGACACAATTTCCTGTTTATTGTGAATTTTCTAATGTTGATTTCTGTGTTAAGGAACGGGAAATAGGACAAGCAATGATAACAGGGACACGCAAGGGTGATCTCTATGTCCTACCCACTTCTCCAGAATTGTATTTCTCCCATAGGTTTAGATCAAGCACTGCAAAGGTTTGCCATCAATGCCTAGGCCATCCTCAATCTTCAGTTTTACATATGCTTAAAAATAAGGGACTCATTGATGTCATAGGGACAACAAAATCTCAAAATCTTTGTGATAGTTGTCAACTAGGAAAGCTTAATCGTTTACCTTTCTCTTGTTCAGAACATTCAATTACTAGTATTTTTGAAAAAATTCATTGTGATTTGTGGGGACCTGCCCCTGTTTTATCTATTGAAAAATTCAAATATTATGCTTGTTTGGTTGATGATTTTTCCAAATATACATGGATTATTCCCTTACGCAATAAATTTGATTTTTTTGATGCATATCTAGCTTTTGAGAAATATGTTGCCAGACAGTTTAATAAGCAAATCAAAATCTTTCATTCAGACGGAGGTGGTGAGTTCATCAATTCCAAACTATCAACTCACTTTCTTTCTACAGGTATTGTTCATCAGGTATCCTCTCCGTATACCCTTGAGCAAATTGGTGTGGTTGAGAGACGCCATAGAACTATAAGAGAATTAGGGATGACTAAGTTATTTCACTGTGGCGCGCCTTTATTTTTATGGATAGAAGCTTTCCCCACGACTGTATATCTTATGAATCGCCTACCGTTGTCTGCTCTTAACTTTCAAACTCCTTACTTTGCACTTCATGGAACACATCCAATTTATTCCTCACTCCGAGCTTTCGATTCTAAGTGTTTTCTCTACACTTGGGATACACGAAAAATAAAATTTGATTCGAAAACATTACTGTGCATTTTTGTAGGTACAGTGAAAAACACAAGGCTTATAAATGCTTTCATCCTTCAAGCAAAATTTTTTTTATTTCCCGTCATGTTGTATTTGATGAGTTAACTTTTCCATATAAGCCTATTAACACGTCTTGCATAACAGCAAATCAACCACATGTAATAAGCATTTTGACTCTTGGTTACCACATGCTAACACTTCTTCGTCTGCAGGTATACTTATGGACTCTTCCTCACCTCCATGTCTAAGTCCACTGCTGCCCATTGCTACACATACTCCAGAGACACATGTCCACAATTCAAGTCCCATTGAGTTATCACATGCATCCCGCCCCATTATCGAGTCACATACCAATGAAGGAAATAATGAGTTACCTGAGTCCCCAAACAACACTGGTTCACCTGAAACATTTCCACCACAAGAGCCTCACATGTCTGACAAGCAACATATCACAGCTCAATTGAGAGTGATTGAAACACTCGAATCATTTCACCAAATTCCTATTCCTTCAGCACCATGGATCACCCGATGGTCACTCGGTCCAAACTATGGGTGGTAAAACCGAATCCTAAGTATGCCTTAAACACCATCACATCCTCTACTATACCTCGTGAACCTCACAACGTCAAAATTGCCTTAGCACATCCTGGTTGGAAAACAACCATGGATGAAGAGCTAGTTGCACTGCATAAAAATGAGACTTGGACACTTGTTCCACGCACGCCAAACATGCATGTCATTGGTTCTAAATGGGTGTTTAAATCAAAACTTAAACCCGACGACTCTTTAGATCGTCTCAAAGCACGTTTAGTTGCAAAAGGGTATCATCAAATTGATGGAGTGGACTACATTGAAACTTTTTCTCCAGTTATCAAACCAGGGACAATATGCATGATAATCACCATAGCTCTTGTTCAGAAGTGGTCTATTCGTCAATTGGATGTGAAAAATGCGTTTTTGCATGGTTTAGTTTCTGAAGATCTTTACATTCAACAACCACTAGGAATGACAGATCCTCAGCATCCGACACATGTTTGCAAACTACAAAGAGCGCTTTATGCCTAAAACAAGCATCACGTGCTTGGTTTGATCGATTTAGTGCATTTCTTCTTAAATATGGTTTCTTTTGTAGTCTAGCTGACCCTTCATTGTTTGTTTTTCATTCGGATTTTGGCTCATTAATTTTACTTCTTTATGTAGATGACATGTTGTTCACTGGATCAACTCCAACACTTGTTTCAGATTTTATTTCAACTCCAACACTTGTTTCAGATTTTATTTAGTTAGAAAGCAGTGAGTTTGCAATGAAAGATTTGGGGCCTATTCATCACTTTCTTGGGATGGAAATCACGCCAACAACAAGTGGTCTTCATCTATCCCAGTCACACTATGCACTGACCATACTCGAACGCTCCAATATGGTTGATTGTAAGCCAATGAATACACCTCTTGAAGCTAAAATGAAAGCATCTTCCAATGATATTCTTTTGGAAGATCCGAGTTACTATCGAGGACTTGTTGGATCTCTACAGTACCTTACACTCACTTGCCCTGATCTTTCGTATAGCGTTAATTATGCATCTCAATTCATGCATGCTCCCACAATGACACATTTAAAAATGGTTCGACGTATTTTACGATATGTCAAAGGAACAATTGAAATGAGATTACATTTTTCTTCACACAATACACTTGATCTATTTGCTTTCTCAGATGGACATTGGGCAAGGTGCACTACAACGAGGTGCTCAATTATTGGCTATTGTACATTCCTTGGACAAAATCTTATCTCTTGGTGTGCAAAAAAACAACATACAATTTTCCAATCAAGCACATAAGCAGAATACCGCACAATGGCAAACACAGCAGCTGAACTCACATGGATGTCCTTCATTCTCAAAGATCTTCGCATTACAATGTCATCTCCTCCCATGCTTTATTGCGACAAGCTCAGTGCTCTTTATATGACAGTAAATCCTATATTCCATGCACGAAGCAAACATATCGAGTTGGATTATCATTTTGTGCGCGAACGCGTTGCACGTGGACTGCTTGTCACTCAACATATTTCCTCTGATAATCAAGTTGCTGACCTCTTCACAAAACCAATGTCAAAAGCAACTCTCCATTATTTTCGCAACAAACTTTGTCTCCAGCCTCGACAAAGTTTGCGGGAGGGTATTAGCAACATATCACAGCTCAGCAAAAAAAAGGTGAAGACTCTCACAATCTAGCCTCAATCAGTGAAGAGCCTTCAAAAAAGGAAAATCAGCTTGATGATCCAACAAACTCCAACTGATGAGGGATTCTCTGTTATCAAGGACCCTCTGTTATCAAGCAAGATGTTCAACATAACAAATGGAGATCATTTTGGCTGTCAAACCAGAATCAATCAAGGATCCTTTGTTATCGAGCAAGCTGGATCCTCTGTTATCAAGTAAGCTGTCCAACGTAACAAATGGAGATCATTTTGGCTGTCAAACCAGAACCAACCAGATTTCATGGGATTTCTTTTCAATGTAATTGTGTTTAAAGACTTCATTTGTATAGCCTAAGTGTTCACGTTAAAAGAATATACAAAACTCTTCCAGTATTATTTTATGAACAAATTCTCTCTGTTATTTTTTTCTTTATGGGGTAGTTCAATAGGCGAAGTCATCGATTGAAGGCGGGATTGTTTATTTGATTCTCGTCCTAGGCATGCTAGGCGACGACGACTCAATGGTAAAGAGGGGAAAAATCTAGGCTGAACGGGGGCGCATTATCTTGATCTCTCTCGTTCTTGATGTGCACGTTGTCCCAATTGACGTTTGGAGCACACATTTTCTTTCCCGACATAACGCATTTCTGGCTCAAGACTTGGACATTGTGTCAAATTTGCTTTTGATATAACATTATTGTTTTGTGCCTAAAACAAAAATAATTAGAAACTAATTATTAAACGTATCTCTTATTGCAGTGATACCTTTGACAATATTAACCTGTGTTTATAGATAATTAATGCAAGCTACTGTAAACCATTTGAACACTAATATGTTATAAATTTGTTGCTTAAACGTATATCTTCTCTTAATATGTTTAAATCCATAATTATTTACCAAATATCCTTTATAACTTCATAATTATAATAAGATAAACTACTTTGTACAATCAAAAAATAAAATAATTGATTTTAATTTATAATCATATGATATGCACTCACGATGATTTATTATTGAACCACATTGTGCAACAAAAAATCAAAAAAAATGAGAAAAAATTGGTAAAATACAACATCATTCCCAAAGCTGATACATACAGGTTGTTATCTTTAAAACAATTTTGCCAAAACTTTCTTTGAAAACTGATCCAATTGGCAATATTAAACTTGTGTGTACAACTCATAATGTTTGTAGGTGCCTACATTAAGGATGTTGACCCTCGTAGTTTCAATATTGTTGTCATTTGGATCCAACGTTATATACAATCTATCATCAGGATCAAACACACACAAAAGCTCCAAAAAATGGAGTAAACATCTTTATTTTTTCTCTATTTTTTTCTATTTTGAAGCTAACCAAAAAAAAAAAAAATCATAAATATCTTTATACACATAAAACCATAGGAAAAAAATATGATGAAAAGTTATACCAGTTGACAAACTGTACTTTTTGTCCCTTTGTTAGAAGAGGTAGCTTTTTCTTTTCCCTTATATCTGACATTCGTCAATGAATTTGACATTTTTTCCTCCTTTAATTAAAAAAAATAATACATATAATGAAAGAAAATGCTAGAAAAAAAATTGGGTTTGTCATGTAAGTGGAGAAAACAAAACTATAACAGTCGAAAACACCCAAACTATAACATTCAAACTATAATATTAAAGCTATTCCAAAACTTATCAATCTTATTCAAAAAAAACACTAAAACTAACAGCCAATGTTAGAGTGCAAAATTGATATAAAATTGTTTATGGAGCAATCTAAAACTTGTTT